GAGTCCCACCACTCCAAGCTTGGTAGTAACTGCTGGAGCCCAACCCAGAAAACCAGTCTCCCCATATTCACGTGGCCATGATGTCACACCACCAGCAATGATGTCATGGGAGTACTGGGGACTATGTGGGAAAGAGCACTGGGCGGGAGTCAGGAGGTCCAGTCTTGACCCTGAGACTTACAAGACTAGAGCCAATCAGGCTAGGGAGATGGCTCAGTTGGTAAAGTCTTTGCTCTGCAGACATTCGTACCTGAATTTGATCACCAGAACCCTCTTAAAAAAGGGGGGCCCATGTAGTCCCAGCACTAGGGAGGCAGACAGGAGGATCCCTGGTGGGGCAATAGAGATGGCAGGAACCCTTGGACTCCTAAGCCAGCCAGCCAGTCTAGCCTAATTAGGCGAATCTCAGATCAGTAAGAGACCCTGTCTTAAAAAAACAGGAAGAGCAGTACCTGAGGAACAACAAACAGCCAGTTGGTCTCTGGCCTCTAGAAGTACACACACACACACACACACACACACACACACACACACAACTTGAGCCAATTATGTTTGCTTATGGAGGCTGTTTTCCTATATGTAAAATTACAGGCTCAGACGAGGTCATCTGGAATTCTGGAATTCTCTTCCTGTCCACTGCAGCTGTCACTTCTAAATACAAGCTTCCCTAATCTGAAAATCTAAAATGCTCTTAAGTCCAGAACTTTATAATCACCGAATGACACCACACACCTGACTTCATTTGGTCAAAATGCAAGGGCACAAAGAATACTGCATGGCGGTCCAGCTGTGTGCATAACGTGTCTCGGAGACACACATGAATCTGAAGTTAAGGCCCATGCTCACCACACAGGTGCCTCTCCAGAGGGCCGGTCTGAAGGACTTTGATGGGAACAAAGAAGGCTGTGCCCCACCCATATCCTGCAGACAGCACAGAGGTGGTGTGGCTGGAGCTGTCAGCTCAGAGACTCTGACAACCTGACAGGTGCAAAGACGCCACCCCTCTGTTTTCAACAAGGCCACTTCCCTGTGGCCTACCAGGCTGGGCTGGCCAGAGTTTCAGCGTCTAAGGAGTAAAAAAATGTTGTTTACAGTCCAGGACATGGAAAACGAAAGAATCATCTTTTCAGTTCTTCGGGTGAAACTCTTGCCTTTCCCTCACCTGCACTGCGATTTAGAGCAACTCAGGTCTATAAACCGTCGCCCCAATAGGGACTGACCACACATACCCAGGGCACTGCGCCAGGCGAATTATCAAGTAGAATGAGAAAGAGCAGCTGTCTTAAAAAGAAGACTCAAAGTCAACTCGCCTATCCCCTTTGGTGATGTTTGGGTTCATGAGTTCTAGTTTAGTTCTCCTGACTTCTTAATATGAAAACAATCGAATTAGTGTCAACCCGGTGTGCCACCTGTGTCTCCTCACCTGCCCTCAGGCAGGGAGGCTAGAATCCCTGGCATCAGACAGGTGTGGCAGGTGGTGTCTCCATCAGAGTCAAACACAGGTGTGGCCGGCCATTGTGAACTGACCTTACAGAATATACGTATATATGTGTCCCACGTCGACCTTTGCCAGGGTGCTTCTCTGGTCTGTTAAATCAGAAAACTGGACCAGGTGACCTGAGGTCCCTCCTAGCTCAAAAGGTTCAGAGTTTTATGATTCAGAAGCATAAATCATTAGGCCAGGACCGTATGACATCCTGTTTTCCATTTGAGAACCCAGATTGCTAATGCTATCCCTTACTGTAGGATGACTGAAGAGGGAGATTATATCTCCTGAATAAAGGCTCATGTTTATTTTTTCTATCAAGCCTGATTAACATTTGAATCCAATGATCCTAAGTTTACAAGAAAACTCTCTGAATATATCTTTTCATTTTATTTGTACTATGTGAGCGTTAATATAATGGAGAAGATATTTCCTATTTTAAAATACATGCCTGGGGGAGCTAGAGAGGTGGCTCAGCGGTTAAAAGCACTGAATGGACTTGCAGAGGACCTGGGTTCAATTCCTAGCACCCACATGGTAGATGATAACAACAGTCTATAACTCTAGTTCCAGGGGATCTGACACCTTCCTCTGACCTCAGGCATTGCACGACAGGGGTACACTTACACACATGCAGGAAAATATGCTCATACACATAAAATAAAATGAAATAATAATAAAACATGGCTGAAGAGTTGGTTGAAGGCTAAAACACTGACCACCAAACCTGATAGCTGAGCTCATCCCTGGGACACACATGCTACCAGGAGAAAACCCAGTCCCCAAGTGGTTCTCTGATCTCCATACCCTCATCATGGCACATGTGAGTGTACACACACACACACACACACACACACACACACACACAAATAAATGTAATAATTTTGAAAGATATATATTTTGAAATACACTGGTGAGCCCTGCACTGGGCAGAAGAGGCAGAGCTAGAATAGATCCCCGCAGGCTCCTCCTTCACGGGTTTCGCCTTAACAGTCCCTCTCCTTTTTTGCTTTTATAACCTACTTAAACCCAGCATGGTGAGACACACCTGTAATCAATCCCAACACTCTACAGGCTGAAGCAGGAGAGTCATGAGTTCAAGACCTACCTGGACTACAAAGCAAGTACCCCCCCCATCTCAAAACAAACTTAGACTGGGAATGAATTTCAGTTGGGGAAGGGTTTGCCTAGCAAACACAAAGCCCTGGATTCTGTCCCCAGCACCATATAAACCAGATGTGATAGCACAAGCCTATAATCTCAACACACCAGAAGTGATAGCACAGTCTATAATCTCAACACACCAGATGTGACAGCACAGTCTATAACCTCAACACACCAGAGGCAAAAGCGGGAGAATCGGGAGTTCAAGGTCAACCTCAGCTACATCACAAATTCTTGGACAGCCTGGGCTACAGGAGATTCTCTCCTTCTCTCTCAAAAAAAAGCTTAAACCAGGAGTGGTGGCACACGCCTTTAATCCCAGCACTTGGGAGGCAGAGGCAGGCGAATCTCTGTGAGTTCAAGGCCAGCCTGATCTACATAGTGAGTTATAGGACAGCTGGGGCTACAGGGTGATCAAAAAGATCCCCCCCAAAAAAACCTTAAATTTGTGAAACAGAATCTATATAGAACACATACATAGCAATGTTTAATAAATAACTGCAAAGTGCCATGTCCTCTTTCTCCTCCCCCTGATGCTGGTCTGTGACTCCTAGGTACTCCATCCCCTTTACCATGACTCTTTTCCTGGACTTGGGACTCTCCAGGTGTTTGGAGATTCCAGGATTCCGCAGCTTGGGCAGGCGCTCAGAGTGAGGTCCAGGCCAAAGGGGGTCTGAACCAGGCCATCTGACGTAACCACCCCCATTCTTGACAGCAAGACAACACAGGAGGGGAGGCTGGTGGTCTTTGGAATTCCAGATTCCAAGGTCCTCTGGAGGCCATGTTCTACCTGCCCAGTCATGCTTTCCAGAAAGACCACAACAGGATCCCTCAGCAGCCCCAGGCATCACTAAGCAAAGGAGCTACCCAGGCAGGGCTGGGTCGAGATATACAAAGTCCCCTACAGAGGTTAAAGGTTGGTCCCATGGAGACAGAAGAGTTCCATGTACCCTGAGGGTCCCTGCAGGATTCAGGCAACCCTGGGTTCTCATCACACCCCAAGTGCCTCCAGCCTCCCCAGAACATTAACAACACAGAAGTCCAGAAATAAGGCTTCGGGCGCATGGCACTTTCTCTGTCAGCCACCCCCAGAGGGGCCTCTCTGGCTGCAGGGAGCAGGCCTGGAACTGCTTGCTGTGCCTGTCAGCAGACTGTGTTGTCCTGCCTGGGGAATGTGCAAGCCCACATGTGCTGGAGTGCCCCGCTGGGGCACAGTTTACAGGAAAAGGAGCAAAACAGCCCGCTGGCACAGATGCACCCTCCTACCTCCCAGCTCCTGACCCTTGTGGACTGTTGGCTTCCCCCACTGAGAAGAGGCAAGGTTAGGCAAGCTCTTCAAGAGAGCCAGGTTCCTGGGCAACCCTGATCCTGGCTGTGCTGCCTTGAGCAAGACACTCCCAGCTCTCAGCTTGGATCTTCCACTCAGGATAAATGAAAGAGGCTGTGAAGTTAGGCTCACAGCGCCAGAGGTACGCAGTTCCCGGTCTGGCAGAACAGAGGCTTTTCTCCACCCATGTGGGATGGGGTGTGCCCCCATGGCACTAAGGCCACCCCAGGAGCAGTCCTCGGCTATAGAAGCTCCATTTTCGAGGGAGCCTATCCCAATAGTGATTAAACAGAACTCCAAGACCCTGGGAAATTGTCCCGGGGCCAAAGTGATAAAATAGTGTCTGTTATCACCCTGGGGCTGGTTTCGGCAACTTCCAGTTTTGAAGCAGGAATGAACCAGGCTCTGTGGGCCACCTGGCTGGGCTTGGGCTCAAGATCTGATCCCAAGTGAGGCCAACATCCAACTGAGCTCCCAATCCTGCACGGCCTCACTTAGACCTTCCTTAGAGGAGTGGGATGAGGATCAGCCAGGCCGAGTCCCTAGCTAGCCCAAGGCTACACAGCGAGGAGGTGACTGAAGGAAACGGAGCGCACGGGGTGGGACTTCCCTTCCTCTCCGCGCGCTCCCCGGTGAGCTCCTGATCCCAAGAGAGCATTCCGGGCCAGGGGACCCCTGAGCGCGCTGACAGGTCCCCGGGCGCCTAGAGGCGAAAGGGTAAGAGCAGGAGAGGCGCGTGGCCCTGGGACGCGCTGGCCCGGACACCGGGGCTTCTTGGGGCATCTTGCGGCCGAACCTCCAAGGGTGCCGGGGACTTCGCAGCGGGCGGAGCGGCTGCATTTGAACTGAAACCCCGCCCGCCCGCAGCTGTCACGCCGGCCGCCGCCCCCGCGCGCCGCCGGGGTCCCCAGGCTTCCCGCGCCGCCGATCCCCTGGGACGCGGCAGGACAGGAATGGGCTGGGGACCCGGGCGCGACCCTCCCCGGCCCCGCGCGGCCTCCAGCCTCCCGGGCCCCCACTTACCCAGCCAGGAGCGTGGGGAGCGCTGCGCCGCGGGCGGCTGGGCCAAGTCCCTCCTGCGCCTAGAGTCCAGGGCGGCTCCGGGGCGGGGCGGGGCCGGGCCAGGGTGGGGCCGGGGACACTACGGCCGCCCCGCCCCTGCCGGGAGCCGCCCCGAGCCCCGCGCAGGGACCCAGGGCGGAGGACCAGCCTCCCCGCTGCGTGTCGCAGACCCAGGGTACTGGAGAGCGGGCTCGCTATCCACGCGGGTATGGAGGGTCTCTGGGCCGAATCTGTGGTCTTCAGTTGCCTCCGCCCGGTTCCAGAGAGTTGTGGGGGTACTCCCAGGAAAAGGTGGCTCAGGGGAGGGAGTTCGCCTGTCAGTCCAGACTTGGGGGGGGTGGGTCAGAGGATGACAAGTCTTGCCCTCACATTGGACCGAAATACAAGAATGAACTGACACCCATCAGTCAACCTGATGGGAGGGGTGGCTTTGCCCATCCTGTCCCACCCCACAGTCCCCTAGCCACCAGGAATGTTCACAATATGAACCTCCCACTAACCCAAGGCTGGAGAATGTGCCTTCCCTTACCCCTGTCACTCACTCCCAGTCCTAGCTCAGGACCCTCCCACCCTGTTGGCTAACCCCAGCTCCAGGCTTCCACCCCTGAACCTTCCATCTGAACTGCCTGCATCTTCTCTACCTCTGGGCCTTTGCACTTGCAATGACCTTAGGCCCCAGGCTTACTCCATCTGCCAGATTCCTTGAATTTGCACCTGGTCCCCTCTCCTTCCTCTAAGCAGTGACTGGCCTTAGAGCATTCAGCCACAGTCTGAAGAAAGCCTAGAATTCCAGGATTATCTTTTCCAAGCCATTACAGATTCTCCTGACTGAGTCTAAGGTCTCCCCTGGATAGAGCTCATGCTGCTAAGGAGGTACACAACCTGAAAAACTAGTACCACGTGAGCCTTAGTCTTCATGATGTAGGCGTGGACTACCCCACTTTATGGGTAACAACAGTCTCCACCACTGGCCCAAGGCCAAGGCCTCTAGGACAGTGTTTCCCCTCTTTGGTTTCTTAGCAGGCCTGGCAGAATAACATAAGTCAGTGTCCTAAAAAGATTAAATTGATCATAGAGTAATGGAGTGTGTGCGCCTCTGCGTGGTGTGGTGGCGGGGGGGTTAGGGTCAGGGTTGGGGGGTGGTCGGTCGTTCAGAACTGAGGAAGAGGCAGAGGAGTTGGGTAAAGTCCAGGATTGACACTAGGGGTGGACCTAACCTGACAGCAGAATGCTAGAGGCTAAGCCACACCCCTTTAGTTGGAGCCCATTCATTAAGTTATAATTATCCAGAGAAGATCCACACAAAGGGCGGCTCCTTTTTCTCACATCTCACTGGTCAAGTGATTCTAAATCCATCAAGGTGCTCCCCAGGCCCTGGAGTTACTACAGCCAAGCTGAAGGTTCCAGGCAGTGATCATAGCAATTACTGTCATTCTTGCATTTGGCTAATGCTCTGCCTTTCAGAATGTTTTCAAATACATCCCCTTGTCAAATCTTGGCAAAGATCCTCCAAGTAGGTGTGAAAAGTGCAAGTAGCTTTGTCTTAAAGGGAAATCAAGGCACAGAGAAGTCGGGTGCCTCATACCAGGACAGAGCTGGCTCTGCCAATTCTGCAGAAGGTAAAGTCCCCATCACACAGTGACAGCTGGCCTGATCACCCAGGAGTTAAGAAGTAAGATTCAGGCACCAAACTGCCCCAATTTGCAGCTCTCGGCTGGTTACTCATCCTTGGTTTCCGCTCCTGCTAAAAAGATCTAATAACAGGAACTTATCTTGTATGGTTTTATGCCTGGTGTAGTGAGGACTGCCAAGCTTGGGCTGTTGTATTATGGTTGTGAGTCTGATATGATTGCTAGGGTTTCTGGCATGTTTTCGTCAAACATCTGCAGAGGCCTACTGTATACATATGCTAGTTCCTGGAATTATGGGGAGAATGCGGCACTGCCCCCAAACAGGCCAAAGTGGAATGTTTCTGTGTCAGAATCAGGAGATCAGAGCGCACAGAGGCAAGCTGTCCACTCCATGACTAAGACAGTGCAGAGCACTGCTTTCAGAGCAAGTAGACAAAGTCTAACGCCAGCCCTTCTTTCTTCCTATTGCCTCTTAACTGAGCGAGCCAGGTGACCTCTTAGAACATCAGAGGAGTGTGGCAAGCATTGCGGTGGGGGGGGGTGTATGAACTGCAAGACACTGTGACGGTATTAAAGGGCTGGGGAGATGGGTCAGTGGGTAAAGTGCTTGCTGTGCATGAGGATCTGAGCTCATTCCCAGGATCCCACCTAAAAACCTAGCCTAGTGGAGCACATCTGGAAACCCAGTGCAGGTAGGGAGGGGCAGATTCGAGGGCTCTCTGGCCAGCCGGGGTAGCTGAAACAGCAAGGTCCAGGCTCAGTGGGAGGAGAGACCTTGCCTCCAGAAAATAAGTGGCACTCAATGGAGGAAGACACTTGATGGACGGTAACTCTGGCCTCCACATGTGCACACAGGTGAGGGCACATGTATACAGCACAAACACACACAAACACAAGTACACGCAAAAGTGCTGTACAGACATTTATAGTTTTACTGCTGCCATTATCATTGGCTTTATAGGGCTTGATGCTTTTCACAACACTCTTCTTGCTTTTTGTCGTTTTTATTTTTTTATATGTATAAGTGTTTTGCCTGCACGTATACAAGAGGATTCATGTGTCCAATGCCTGCAGCGGCCAGAGAGGGCATCGAATCCTCTGGAACTGGAGTTACTGAAGGTTGTTAGACTCCATAGGAGTGCTGGGAATTGAACTCAGGTTCTCTGCAAGAGCACTCAATGCTCTTAACCATAGAACCATCTCTCCCATCCTCTCTTTGCTTTTTATAAGCCTGACATGAACATCCATCAAAATCAGGAGTTTACTATTTTTATTATTACTATTATTATTATTCTCAGGATTCTGGGATAGAACTCACTGGGCTATGTCCACAGCCCAGGGTCTTTTTTTTTTTTAATTTACATTTACTAATATAATAAATATGATTATTTCTTATTTTAATATTTTAGTTTAGAAAATACTATGTATTTATATATTTTATGTGTATGAGTGTTATGCCTACATGTGTGTAAGTGCACTCTAGTTGTGCAGTGACTGAGGAGGACAGAAGAGGGCATCAGATCCCCTGGAACTGGGTTTACAAACAATTGTTAGCTGCCGTGTGGGTGCTGGGATTTGAACCCCAGTCTTCTGCAAGAGCAGCCAGTGCTCTTAACCTCTTCTGAGTTATCTCTTCAGTCCTTATTTTAGGAAATATTTTTAAATTACATTTATCTGTTTATTTGGGGTGGGGGTGAGCCCCAGTGATGGAGAGCAAACAACTTGTGGAAATTGATTCTCTCCTTACACCGGGTGGATCCCTGGGGATCGAACTGAGGTGATTAGGCTTAGCAGCAAGTGCCTTTGCCCATTGAGCCATCTCTCCACCCACTCACTGCCTTGTGTGTGTTTGCTACACAGTGGTCTTGTTACACTTCAGAGTAACCAACACAGAACGGAAGAAGCTGTGCAAGAGTTAGGAGAGTTCTCAGCAAAGAAGGAAGGCTACACACATTTGGATTCATCTTCAGCAGCTACTGGCCGTTACAAAGTAAAAATGTATCTGGAAAGAAAATTTTGGCAAATGGCTGGGGGAGCGCCCCAGTCATCTCTGGAATTGAGCACAGGAAACCCCGCCCTAGGCCTCCCCTCAGAGGCTGCCTGGAGAGGCAACCACAAGAAGGGCACTAAAATTATGCCTTTCGGAAATTCTGACTCACTGGGCTGTGGGGCTGTTTGTGCAACAGCAAAAGTCTCCCCCAAACCGAAGTTCCCGCTGCCCTTTCCCCACCCTTTCCCCTGCGGTGGGAGTCTCCCCCACTGCTGTTCATGGGGAAGCCTGGATGTCTTAATGAGCCCGGGGGCGGTTCTGCAGGTCTGCTGCACACTGCAGCCCGTGCGCTTCCTCAGTGTAATTCTGTAGTTGTTTATGTATTCAGCCTCCATGGAAAGATTACCGAGAAAGCTGGAATGGCTTTTCTAACTTAGCCAGCCCCTCACTGTATGAAAGGGTAAACTGAGGCAAGTGGGGGAAGGAGGTACTTTACGAGAGGGGATCTGAGGCGTGTAAGTACTGTCCTGGAAATGTATAGCCCTAGCTCTCTGTCTCTAGTTTGTCAAAACTTTGGAGTGTGTGTGTGTGTGATTGGTTGGGTTTTGTTTATTTCATTTTTTTGAGATAGAGTCTCATCACTATGTAGCCCTGGCTAGCCTAATTCTTCCTATGTAGCCCAGGTTAGCCTGGAATTTGTGGCAGTCCTCCTGTCTCACCTTCCTGAGTTTTGGGGTTACAGGTGAGTGACCACTGTTCTCAGCAGTTTTTAAAAATATTTTATTTATTATTTTTATTTTTTATGTATGGGTGCTGGGAATTGAACCCCTGTCCTCTGCAAGAACAACCAGTGCTTTTAACCACTGAGCCATCTCTCCAGTCCCTGAATCTTGATCTTATTAGACAATAATATCATTCAACATGACTAGACATTACCGCTTTGCTTCAAGGAATAAGTACCATCCTAAATAAAAATGCTAAAGTACAATTAATAAACTTTAGTTCTTAAAAAAAGCCTTCTAGAAGCTAGCCACACTCTTCTATCAGCGAGCAAGCCCAGCTATACACTCTGTTTTGGCTGGATTACTTTAAGTGTATGCATTTAATTAAATGTTTTATGTCGAGATACTTGTTAATTCACATGTAGTTACAAGAAACTGCACAGGGAAGCCTTTTCCCTCCCCAGTTCCCCCAATGGCAGTGTCTCATAGAACAATGAGTTTCACAGGGAGGTCACCCCCAAGGAAACCATCAGACCAAATACCTGCTGACCTGCCCATCAGCTCCTTAAACCCCGGAACTACCAATCTATTCTTATTTCCCTATTTTTTGTCATTTCAAGATGGCTATTTATAACCCAGATCCTCTGGGCATGGTGGCTCATGCCTGCAACCCCAGCACTCCTGAGATTGAGGCAGTAGTTGGAACCTGAGGCCAGCCTGCGGTACACGGCAGGATTATTTCTCAGAAA